TGGGATGAGATACGATCGGGGGAAGAGAGAGACACGAGGGGCGGAGGAAACGGATTGGTGGCGAAAAGTCTGGAGAGAACCAAGGACGAAGAGAGGGAGGAGAGAAAGAAAAGCAGAGAGGCAGATGGGGAGCGAGGCAATACAGACGGAGAAGGTGACGAGAGAAAGAGATATAGAGACAGAGAACAACGAGACATGTTGAGAAAGACGGAGAGAATCGGAGGGAGAAGCAGCGACAGAGGTTGAGAGTGAGAGAGAGAGAGACGGGAAGACCCGAGACAGGGAGAGAGGACAGAAACGAGAGCGAGACGAGAAAGAGATTAGCGAGCGAGATGGCGAGAGGAGAGAGAGATGAAAGAGATGGAGATAGAGAGAGGAAGAGGAGAGGAAGCAGAGGATGCAGGAGAGATGAGAGAAGAGGAAGAAGAGCAGAGAGGAGGACGACCGAGATATGAGGGAGAGAGTGAGAAGATGAGAGTAGGACAGCTGAGCGAGAGATAGAGAAGATTGCCGAGAGAGAGATGCAAGAGAGAGAGTTAGAGACTTTATCGTGCAGTGAGCGACGAGAGAGAGGAAAGAACAGAGAAGAAGGAGACAAAAGAGCAAGAAAGACGAGAATGAGAGATGCAGAGAGAGATGACGATAGAGAGCAGATGAGAATAGACAGAGCAGCGGAGTTAGAGACAGAGAAGGCAGAGAGCAGAGGAGAGGCGCCGCCGAGATAGTCTCACACCACAAGTCTCACACACGCCGGCCACAGTACGACACAGCAAGATCGGTAGAGCGTAGTGTATATGTAGATGAGATGTGAGATGTTACGTAGCTTGCACGTACCATTGCCTCACTCGTGCCAGAGAGCGCATGTCGCGTTAGGACAGGACGTATGATCATCGTTAAGCACGTCGTCGGCAGGGATCGGTTCAGCCGCTCGCTAGGGGCCTCGTCCTGCGTCCCCTCCCCCGACGTCGTAGTATATGAGCGGGACAAGGCCGACACCAGACTGTCCAGCTGCTGGTCAAAGTGAGAGTGCATGTACACGTGCAGGTCTGTGCCTGGAAAACAAACAATTGGCAAAATAACTTGCTCTCTCCCTTTGAGATAACTTCGGGAAATCTCGCGTGTTTCCGTCAATATGGACAAATGGACAGAATGGAGCCGTCTGGTTATGACTTACTATAGGATGACCCCACCTGCTGCCTACGCTCACGTGGATTTGTTAAACTCCAGTAAAAACCTTAATGTTATTATTATACAGATTTTCATATGTTTTAGCTGGTTTGGCGGTATTATTACACACATATTTTCTCATCGTTATTATTGTGTTAAGCATCGACGGCGGCTAGCCGTCGACGCCGTCCACGCGCCTACTTTGGGGTTTCTATGGGTTCTCTCCACAGGCTTCACCCTCCCTCCCCGCTCGCTCCCCCGTCGAGGATGCTGAAAAGGCAAACTCTGCAGAAGGAAGCAGCTCAGTGTTGTCGGAGGCGTGATAGTTGGAGCATGCGTCCTATGCTATGGCTACCGTTAACATTTTCACGGGCTACACCATTACCGTAACTTGAGCTGACACTTAAAATCATGCAAACCAAATTGAAATTTTTACTGGTTAGTTAAACAAATTTAAACAAGTGCCGCAGTGCGACAGGGCTCATCTGGTGTCTGGTGTTCTGCTGATAAATCATTTGTGGCATAGCAAGACGTCCTATACATGTCTTTTTTATTCTTGTTTGACTTTCGTAGACAATTGAACAAATATATCTAGCTACACTTTCGCACCCACCTAATTGCTCTATGCTTGGCAGACACAGCTGTGCATTGGCAGGGTTGGCAGGCAACAATTATGATTAGAAGCATGCGCAGCCATGGGCTGCCCCGTGTTTTTGACTACCCACACGAGCATCACTGATTCAGCCTTTCAGGGTGCTTATAGACAGACTGCTTAGAAAATATGATTTAAGAGCGTAAACCTTGTTCAACAAACATTTGCCATTGCAATTAAACTGTGCCAACTGTAGCTCCACATTTCGCAGCGTATATGGCGCTCTATAATAGCAAAAGCAGTTCAGTCCTTTGTTAACAGTCAACAAAATCAATGTTTTTAAACCCTCCTCTGCAAGGGTCAAAGGTATCATCCCGCGACACTTACTATCGCTATTGTCACGCGGATAATAACATTTCATTTGGTCCTTTCAATAAAGCCATAAAAATGCTAGGTCACTGCTGAACACAACAAAAGTTCAATCGCTCTGTCCAGACCATGTCTCTCAGAAAATGTCTAAATCTGCCTGTTAGCCCTTTTCGCTAGCTTGCTGACTCCAATTTCGGCCCACATGTGATGGCTTTTCTTACCATGATGCTATACACCGACTATCGACGAGCCTAGGTCAGAGCCCATTTAGCATTTGTGCGCAATTCTGCATTCCTCCCTATTACCCTATTGTTTGAGGAGTGTTCCCCTTCTTTTACACCTCTTGACCTTTGACACCTTTGCCCCAGTTTCGAACATGCCCAACTCGTTTTCGGTATTACCCCCCCACGTCCGAATATCGTGAGCCGCTATGCGTCGAAGCGGTAAAGATTTTGTGCCCAACTGCTTGACGTGACGCTACGACGCGACAATCACCTGCGATTCTACAGCCTGCGACGGACTACGTTCAGCATAGCCCTAAAAAAGAATCCATTAACTTAATAGCAAACAAGTCGCTGGGTCAACCTATCTCTCCTTGTATGACACACTGGTTAATTAAACAAATTTAAAAAAGAATCCATTAACTTAATAGCAAACAAGTCGCTGGGTCAACCTATCTCTCCTTGTATGACCAGACTGTTATACAGATGTATATATTGCATCGTGTTCTTTTATGTTTTAGGGTAATCACACTTGTATGAAAATAATAAATTGTACTGACAATTATCCAACGGTGGTTGCAGTTTGTTCTAATTCGTCATTTGAAAATTATGCAGACTAATTTTGAATTTGACACAAAATGCATGCTTACACATATAATAATCAATACCTGCCACCTGCCAACATTATTATATTAATCGGGTCTCCAAACGATGCAATTATGTAAACAAAAGCCATGTATACATAAGACAGAAACGTCTTTATTACAGTAGCAATGCAAACTCAATACACTGACAGATTCTGTATTTCTAGCACAATTGATCCCAACCCAATTAACTACTGATCCCCAATCTCACTGTTCCTCCTATTCCCCCCAGTGTTCTAACGTACACAAAAGTGAATTGTAGGAATCATAGTAGGTGACACTACGATTTACGTCACGTTCGACGCGAGTGCAGTATCAAGTCGTCTACCACATTACACCTGATTTATCAATGTCCGAAAGACATGATCTTCTGCCGCAACCAATGTTTATGCTACGATGAACTGTACTGTTGTGACTGTGAAACAAGTATTAACAACGATAACTGTACGAGGCGGTCGAATACTTGCTAAAAGATTTAAAACTCGCAAAGAAAGCATGGCATTTACTTCACACTGGTAAAACCGCACACCGATTACGGAGAAGACGGAAGAGGAACGCACATGGAACTCGACATCAATCTACCGACACTGACGTTTATATACAATATGGCTGACAGCTACGCTCGCTCTCGCACACGTTAGTGGTGGGGCGGCCCGCCGACTCGCGAAAGTGCGAACAGGTGATCATAACATGGCCTGCGAAAATCGGCCGAGATCGTGACGAATTCGTAACAAAAGCTTACCAGCTGTAAGCGCACAGATACAAGCGAGCAGGTTAACATTGCTCACCGATCCCCCTGCGTGCCCACACACTCGCTGGTCAAGCACGAGGTTTGCAAAACGTGCACGTTTTTACCACAAACCCCAACCCGTTCTGGTTCCAGACCACACATTGCCACCGCATTCACTGTTCAATTTGCTGAGCAGCACCTCTGCACAGGCGTGCGCGGAAGGTGCGTGGCTGGGGACATGACAGGTGTCACATCTAATGATCTCGTCACGTCGCAGGGTCGATGATTTCCAGCCCCAACGACCCAGTATCGCCGCGGCAATGGCCGCCCTAGAATCGCCGTGGCGACGGACGATCCAGAATCGTGACGGCGACAGACGGCCGACGTGCGTCACAGATCAACCTGATCGCGTGCGCACGGCAGTAGAACAACGCTCCGACGTGAACAACAAGACATTCCAGAAGGACCGTGATTGCCTGAATGTTCAGCAGCAGACCAAACAACCAGGTTCGAACAACGAGCCGTTCCAGAAGGATCACGATCTTGCTCACACGGCTGCAGAAACAAACATCCTGATCCGAACAACAAGCTGTTTGGGAAGAATCACGATTGTGCACGGGCAGCGGAACAAACGTGATCCGAACAACGAGCCGTTCAGGAACAACCACGACCGCGCGCGACGCCCGGGCGGTGCTGGCTACATGATGGCGAGAGGAGGGTCCGTGCGCTCGCGTGATCAGAATCCCTCCTGGTACTGACGAGTCTCCATCTTCGCTGCGAGAATCTCTAGTTGTCGCTTGGCCTCACAGGCGGGGAAGTTAGACAGGTCATAGTACTGCGGGGCATTCTTCAACAACCTGAGGGAAGAGAGAAACCGTCGCAGACTGTGAGCTCGCTGCTAATGACGATCGACGATAGATAGAATAGAAACCTACGAATAAGTTTCCACGAATTAATTTGAACATGTTTATACGGAAAATGGGACCACACGCACGCACACAAACACACTTGCTCTTTGTCACTCTGCTGCGCATGCATGCACACATACGTACAAACTGAAAATGGGACCACACGTATGCGCACAAACACTTGCTCTCAAAGTCATTCTGCAGTGCACACACAGGCATGCATGCACGCACACACACACATATTAACTCTTGTAGACATTGCTGACTGCACTCATGCACTAACGCAGGTGCCCATACATACACACGCGCGCCCGCACGCACGTACAGCCCCCACACGGCGCGCGACCACCTACCACTCGGGCTTGACGTCGGACACCGTGCGTATGTAGTTCTTCGTCGTCAGCACAAACTCGTTGTAGAGCACCCACTCAGGCTTGTGGTCAAGACACGTCGACGGGTGCAGCTGCACCATCTGGTTATCCTTGACCGTCAGGTAGTGACCGGTACGCTCCAGATGCGCAACCTGTCAACATGATTACCGCTCAAGTTATATGTTCTGATTTTGGCAGATTTTGCACATGAAGTTTAGGAGGGTCTAATCAACAACTTCCAACAATAAAACCGTCTGTTGCAATTTGTTCCGGGTATTTCATATATTGACTGGACTATTAAGCAATAAATAAACAAACGTAATTCCGAGAATTATGTGAAGGAAACCTTGTACTGAAATTTGATTCGAATTTGTTGCGTAGTTTAATAGATGAAACAACATACGATTGTTCTTAGATCAATTCATTTTACAAGAGCTACTCATTATTTATTATGCGAGGAATGCGGGTGGGTGCTCAAATTGTTGGGAAAAGATTTTCTTTAAAGAGCCGACGACAGCAGTGTTTTAGGGCGCCATGATATCTGGTCCGGAATACCGTTCAAAACGTCCCTGCCACGCACCTGCATGAAGAAGCCGGAGACGAGCGCCTTGCGTATGTTGATGTAGTAGTCGCGGCTCGTGAACTCGGTGCTCGTGCGGCGCAGGTTGAAGCGGTCCATGATGCGCGACAGCTGTATGCGCACATTGTCGGCACTCTTCAGCGAGCGGTAGTTGATGAAGTTATCGTAGCACCACTGAACGTCCTCATGATCTACAGCAACACACAGCAACGTGGCGGTCAGCGTCATACGTCATACAACTACACGAGGCGTCTAATAGTTGTAATGCAATCTATTACAGGTAGGTCCCGTTTTACGACAGGGTTAGGTTCTAGTAACTGTAAAACAGGGTCGTAAAACAAGACCAAATTATAATGCAATTAAATGCTATCATTCCACCCACAATCCACCACGAAAAACAATACAAGCGCATATTGGGTGTTTGGACTCACAGGCATTGCTGCGATGTGTTATTGAGTTGCAATTTTTTTGTAATTTTGAATTTTTTATGTAATTTTGAAAAGGTCGTTAACATGGTTAATGTGAAAAGCCGTAAAATTGACCATCGTAAAACGGGATCTACTAGTGTATATAGTTCAATTATGGCATTATCTACATATAAAACTAAACAGTGTTATAAGTCATTAAACTATACAAGGTACCTAGTAGTTATAATACAATCTATAATATAGTTCAATTAGATCAGTATCTAGATATAAAATTAAACGTGGGGAATGGGTAGGCACTATGGGGTGTAGCTTCACTCTGTTAGTGTCTAGACTTATAATCGAACAGGGGCCGGGGTAGGCTGCTACTGCTGCTACTGTTACTACAACTGCTGCCACTGCTACTACTGCTGTTGCTGCTACTGTTACTACAACTGCTGCTGCTGCTACTGCTACTACTGCTACTACTGTTGCTGCTGCTACTACTACTACTAACTACTACTGACTACTAATTACTACTCACTCTGTTTGAACGCGTGGTAGACGTTGAGCAGCGTAAGATGGTCGCCATCGATGTGAGCAAAGCGCATCTTCGCCTCGTCCGCTTGCTTCCTCACCTCGTTAGGTCTCACAAAGCACTGCGGGACTAGTGTAAAGATGCCGGGTACGCGCCCGTTCCCGTTAGATTAGTACAGCGTCACACTAAAGAGAAGCTAGAGCGTCAGGCATGACGAGGAACTGATCTGGTCGGCTGTGTGTCGAATGCGCGCGTGCATGCGCTCGTGGGGTAGAGATGGCTGCTGAGCGGCGTCACGGAGCTAAAACTCCGCGCCACAGCTATGTCGTGCCTCGTACTTAATAGTAACGATGCACTAGTACGACTCGCTCGATACAGTGATATTGATATCCATTGCATCGAGTTTTGATGCCAAAATTTCTTATTTTCTGTTTAAATTTTAGATGGCATCGCATCAACGTCAGCGATAAATGCTCTGTGGGATCGAGACGATTTGTTTATTTTTGACGATTAAGTACTTTTTTGAACGTTTATCAGCAGCCTAGCTGAACCCCAGGTTAATCAATGATTAGGTTATATCTTTTACACACAATGGTGTTTATCAACAAAGTAAAAATTCTGAGAGGCACGTGGCAATAAACACCCAGCCGATTCATTTCAGTTCAAAATAACTCCAGTCAATCGAAGTCAATCCAGTAATTCCTGGAAACCCCCAGGAAACTCGCAAGAGCTGGAATCGGCCTGTCTTGGAAAATTAATGCATACTTTTCACGTAACAAACATGTGTGACCCTCTCGACGAAAAACCAGTTAATAGAGAGCAGAACATACGAGACACAAATACGAAAAGTGGTTGACATCACAACAGAAGTCACCAATGTCCTAATTCCTGCAGCAAGCATTCTAAATCCCCACGGTGTCATCAGCTTGAGTCGATCAGCACAGCCCCACTTACCTGACGTAGTCACCTATCCGATGCCGTCACCTACTCCCCATCCACCGCCCCCACCCGGTCACGCACCACGACAGTATGACCCCACCACCAAAATAGCATGCTGTCCCACCCACTCACACACGACACCGTTTTGCCACCCTGCGCTTCGCTCTGCTGGTGATGTCACACTCACTACCTCTTCCCGTCAACCAGTACCTGACAGCATAGCTGTGACGGAGAGAATCTCGTTGGAGCAGTTGTAATCACAGCTGGAGATGAGCATCTTCCCTAGCTGCGGGTCCAGCGGAAACTCGGCCATGATCGAACCTACCACAGAGAGATCACGTTATGTATGCAGCATGTAAGCAGCATTCCTTACTGCTTATCACACTGATCTATCTACCTACCACAGAGAGATCACGTTATGTATGCAGCATGTATGCAGCATTCCTTACTGCTTATCACACTGATCTATCTACCTACCACAGAGAGATCACGTTATGTATGCACCATGTAAGCAGCATTCCTTACTGCTTATCACACTGATCTATCTACCTACCACAGAGAGATCATGTTATGTATGCAGCATGTAAGCAGCATTCCTTACTGCTTATCACACTGATCTATCTACCTACCACAGAGAGATCATGTTGTATGCAGCAATGCTTTATGCAGCACTTCTTACGCTTATACACTGATCTATCTAATCCTAACCACAGAGAGATCACTGTTATGTATGCAGCATGTGACAGCATTCATACTGCTTATCCACACTGACTCTATCTACCTACCACAGAGAGATCACATTATGTAATGCACCATGTAAAAGACCACACTATACCCCGGTTACGGCGTCATCTCACAGCATCTATCCTCACCGATCCACAGAAGAATCAAGATTTATGTTGGGCAGCATGTGACACCAGCCACATTTCACACTATGACTGCTATCATAACTACGATACAGGACCCACTAAGCTACCACTATAGCCAACAATGAGAATCAACTCTCATGTCATGCAGGCATCGTACGACGAAGCCAAGATTACTGCTTCTCACAACGATCTATCTCACCACGGCCACCAACAGAGAGATGAACGTTATAGTAATGAGCATGTAATGCAGCATTCCTTACTAGCTTGATCACAGCTGATCTAATCTATCGCTACCACCACGAGAATCCACGATTAAATGTATGCAGCCATGTAGCAGCATTCCTTACTGCTATCACATCTGATACTATCTACCTACACGAGAGATCCACGATATGTATGCAGCATGTAGCAGCATCCCTCTACTTGGCTTATCACACTGGATCTATCTAACCTACCACAGAGAGATCAACCGTTATGTATTGCACCATGTACGCAGCATTCTTACGGTATCAACCTGATCTATCTAGCCTACCACAGAGAGATCACGTTACTGTATGCAGCATGTACGCAGCATCTTACTGGCTTATCACACTCATCTATCTACGGCGTACCACAGAGACGATCAACGTTATGTATCAGGCATGTAAGCAGCATTCAGCTTACTGCTTATCACATGATCTATCTACACCACCACAGAGAGATCACGTTATGTATGCAGGATGAGCAGACATTCACTTACTGCTTATCACACTGATCTACTACCTACCAGCAGAGAGCATCAGTTTAATGTATGCAGGGCATGTAATGAGCATTACCTTACTGCTTTCTCACACTGATGCTATGCTACGCACCACAGAGAGATCACGTTAGTATGCGCATGGTACAGCATTCCTTACTGCTTATCACACTGATCTATCTACCTACCAACAGAGAGATCCACGTTATGTATGCACATGTAAGCAGCATTCCTGTTACTGCTTATCACAGACTGATCCTATCTAACGCCTACCAAGGACATCACGTTATGTTACTGCAGGCAGTTACGCAGCATTCCTTACTGCTTATCACACTGATCTATCTGACCTACCAGCAGAGAGATCAAACGTTATGTCATGCAAGCATGTTAAGCAGGCATTCCTTACGGCCTTTCAGCCTGATCTATCTAGCCTACCGACAGAGAGATCACGTATGTATGCCAGCATGTAAGGAGCATCCTTACTGCTTATCAATCTGATCTAATCTACCTACCACCGAGAGAATCACGTTATGTAATGCAGCATGTAAGCAGCCATCGCTTACTGCTTATCACAGCTGTTCTAGTCTACTACCACAAGAGAGATCACGTTAATGTAAGCAGCATGTAGCAGCATTCTTAACCTGGCTTATCACAACTGATTCTATCTACCTACCACAGAGAGATTACGTTATTATGCCAGCATAAAGACATTCCTTTATGGCTTATCACACTGATCTATCTACTAGCCACAGAGAGATCACGTTATGATATGCAGCATGTAAGCAGCATTTCCTACTGCTTATCACAACTAATACTATGCTACTACCCGAGAGATCACGTTATGCTATGGCAGCATTAAGCGCATTCTTACTGCTTATCACACTGATCTACTCTACCTACCACAGAGAGATCAAGTTATGTAATGCCAGCATGTAAGCAGCGCATTCCGTTATGCTTTCAATCTGATCTATCTACCTACCAACAGAGAGATACGTTCTGTATGGCAGCATCGTAATCGGCATTCCGTATGCCTTATCACACTTGATACTATCTACCTACCACAGAGAGATCATAACTTTATGTATGCAGCAATGTAGGCGCATTCCTTACTGCTTATCACACTTGATCTATGCTAACCGCTACGACAGAGATCATGTTATGTATTTCAGCATGTACCAGCATTCCTTACTGCTTATCACCTGATCTATCTACCCTTACCAGCGAGAGATCAGTTATGTATGCAGCATGTGAAGCCAGATTCCTTACTGCTTATCGACACTGATCTATCTACCTCCCACAGAGAGATAACGTTAATGTATGGCGCAATGTAAGCAGCATTCCTTATGTGCTTATCACACTGATCTATCTACCTATCACAGAGAGATCAGTTATGTATGCAGGCAATGTACGCAAGATTCCTTACTGCTTAATCACACGATCCTATCTACCGCTACCACAGAGAGATTCCACGTTAATGTATGCCACATGTAAGCAGCATTGCTACTGCTTATTCACACGATCGTAATCTACCTAGCCACAGAGAGATCAACGTTATGATAATGACAGCATGTAAGCAGGCCAGTTCCTTCTGCTTATCACACTGATCTATCTACCTACGCCAGGAAGAGATCACGTATGTATCAGCATGTACCAGCATTCTACCTGTTTCACACTGATACTAGTCTACCTACCACAGAGAGATCACCGTTATGTCACTGCACAGTAGCAGCATTCCATTATCTGCTTATTCACACTGATCTATCTACCTACGCACAGAGAGATCACTTATGTATGCAGCAGGTACGCAGCATTCGCTTACTGCTTATCACACTGACTATCTACCTACCAGCAGAGAGATCAAAGTATGTATCCACATGTAAGCACCATTCTTCTGCTTATCACACTGATCTATCTACCTAGCACCAGAGACATCACGTTATGTTATGCAGCATGTAGCAGCATTGCTTATGTGCTTATCACCTGAATCTATCTAGCCTACCACAGAAGAGCTCATGTTATGTATCAGCAATGGTAAGGGCAGCATTACCTTACTGCTTATACAACATGATCTAAAATCTACCTGAACCACAAGAGAGATCGACGTTATGTATGCCGCGTAATGTAAGGCACATTCCTTACTTGCTTATACCTGATCTATCTACCTACCACAGAGACATACGTTATGTTATGCAGCATGTATGGCAAGCATTCCTTACTGCTTATCACGACTGATTATGCTATCCTACCACAGGAGATCATTATGTATGGCAGCATGTTATGCCAGCATTGCTTACTCGCTATCACAACTGATCTATCTACTACCACAGAGAAGCATCATGTATGTATGCAGGCATGTAGCCATTCCTTACTGCTTATCACACTGATCTATCTACCTACCACAGAGAAGATCACGTTAGTATCAGCAATGTAAGCAGCATGCTTACTGCTTATAACACTGATCTATCTACCTACCACAGAGAGATCAAACGTTTATTGTATCGCATTGCTTACTGCTATCTACACTGATGATACTACCGCTACCACAGAGAGATAGGTTATGTATGCAGCATGTAAGCACATTCTTAGTGCTTATCACCTGACTATCTAACCTACACAGAGACTCACGTTTATGTATTCAGCATGTATGCGGCATTCCTTACTGCTTATCAACTGATCTATCTAGCCTACCACAGAGAGATCACGTATGTATGCAGCATGTCAGCATTATCCTTACTAGCTTATCACACTGATCTATCTACCGTACCACAGAGAGAATCACGTATGTATGCAGCATGTAGTGAGCATATCCTTTACTGCTTATCACACTGATCTATCTACCTACCAAACAGAGAGATAGCGTTATTTTTAGCAGGCATGTAAGCAGCATTCTTACTGCTTATCACACGATCTATCTACCTACCACAGGATAAGAAAGGTCACGTTATGTATGCAGCATGTAAGCAGCATTCCCTTACTGCTTAATCAAACATTGATCTATCTCCCTCCACAGAGACATCACGTATGTATGCAGCATGTACAGCATTCCTTACTGCTTATCAGCACTGATCTATCTACCTACCACAAGAATGACGTTTATATGACAGCATGTATGCAGCATCCTTACTGCTTATCACACTCGATCTATCTACCTACCACAGAGAGATCAGCGTTATGTATGCAGCATGTACGCCAGCATTCCTTATGCTTATCACACTGATCTATCTACCTACCACAGAGAGATCACGTTATGTATGCACGATGTAAGCAGGGCATTCCTTATTGCTTATCACACTGATCTTATTCTACTACCACCGAGAGGATCACGGTTATGTATGCAGCATGTATGACACTTCCTTAATGCTTATCACACTGATTGGCTATCATACACCACCAGAGAGATCACGTTATGCTTATGTCACATGTAAGCAGCATTCCTACTGGCTATAACACTGATCTATCTAAACTACCAACACGAGAGATCACATATGGTTAATTGCTGTACCTGAATACTTTAATTCACTTAATTAAGTCAATTATTCGTAATTGTTTAACCCTAAATGCTGAGGATTGCAAAAGTGGCTTGTCTTAACACACGATTATGTCCCAGATAACGTGGTGCTGGTGAACTAGGGTCAAGCTGAAACTACTAGAGTGAAGTACGCCCATGTGGTGACAGCTCCCGCCAGCTGGATAACGAAAACATAGATATGAACGCATGCTTAACCGAGTTCAGTAGATCACCGCATGTCCGTTGATACGCTGCGCAAGTAGTTTTAGGCAACTCCACGCTCGCATACAGTGTGCCTCAGGAGCTACAGAGGGATAGAGTGAGAATGCGGTGGTGAGAGTGCATGACCACGACAGACGCGTCTACGATTTCACGTTATTTGGTGCCGGCTCGAAGTAGTCATTGTCGGCCAGCCATCGACTGTCGACAACAAGCAAGATTCTACGGGAATGCAGTGGTCGTGTTGGCTCGAGTTTTCTTCTATTAATCCTCTTCACCGCACAGCATCACATCACCGAGAGGACACACAGAGTCTATGCAATTATGTTACTAACAACGTGAACACATTGTGCTAGAAAAGCTATCTAGCAGAGCAGTGCACAAACGCTTAATCAGGACATTTTTATGATAGAGCATGAAAAATTTCTCAACAAAATGTTTCACCATCACGTAACAGCTCGTCTAGAAATATATACGGAAAATTACAGACACACAAGACCCAAACTGCCATTGAGCAGCAGAATAAGCACACATGCCCACGTGTAAGAATGTATTAACTGATTTTGAAGAGTAGATCGGTTTATTATGCTACATCGTACGGATGTGACGCTGCACACGCCACGCACACACCGCCTACTCACCAGGCGGCGGTCCATGATAAGCTCAAAGTGGTAGCAGGTCGTCAATGCCTAGCTTCTCAGCTGCAGCCACCACCTGTGCGGAGTTGGAGGTAGGATCTCTGGATACTGTGTTATCCTGCATCTCCCTGGCTGTAGGTCCTTCTCCCGTGTACAGCCTGAAGCACTTACCTACAGCAGAGGAGGAAGATGAGGGAGGAGGAAGGGAGAGGAGATTACACACTGTAACATGTGATGAGTTCAGTCAGCATGTTTCCGTGCCGTGTTTCATCTCTACACGTACACCTCTATTCATTCTCAAACGCCACCTCCACAACGACCGAATTGCGAAATGAGAATGCCAAACAGCACGGTGGACGCAATAATAACACGTTGTACACACATTAAAGTTACGCACACAGTCACTTTCATCTTACTTCATGGGTGTGAACACTGAAGAAACTGTTTAATCAACCTTTAAGTTTTAACCTTTAAGAAATTGCACAGTAATAGTACGTAGTAGCAAGATCCGCGTCCGTAGGCACTATCCGATGTATCTACACATCTTGATCACATGGTAGCGGGAGCCAGCACACGGCGTCAGGTGCAGCATCGAGGTGAGTGTGGGTACATACCGGGTCTTGTACGTCCGGCACGACCAGCCCTCTGCTGAGCACTCGCCTTCGATATCGGCGACACAAGTAGCGACTCCACCCTGATGCGTGGGTTGTAAACCTGCATGACAACGATAGCAACAACGTTAGAAGGTCGCTGATATTGCGTGCATGCACACTTACTCGAGAAAATGCAAACATACCCTCTTCCTGTTTAATCAAGTCAAATGGACTTAATGCGAACTTCAATTTAAAATGGCGAAATTGACTTCCCATTTCTACTATATATCCATACTGCTCTTTGAACATTTTTATCTGATCTGCTGTCTCTACAACTGCTTTGCCACTTGAAGACTGATCTGATTAACACAGATCCTGACAAGCTAGCAAAATGTTAGTCACATGTCAGTGCCATTCGATTGCAAGTTTTGTTACTGATCTTTCATTTTCTATACAGCACACTTACTCAATATTACCATTATTAGTATTAATAATAATTACTACTATCATAATAATAATTATTATTATTACAGTGTTCGAAATAAGGAAAAAATTTGCTTGTCTGACGGACAAGCTACAATATATTTTTGCTTGTCCTGCAAAATGTTTGCTTGTCCTGAACATAGAAATGTAGTAAATGTGTAATTAATACATTTAATGATCAAATAAAATTTTAGACCCAATATCTTACTTTTTAATTTTAATACAGTTCACTAACAGTTAAAAATTATAGGCACCAAACTTGAAAGAACATAAAGAAGCACAATTATTTATTTTAAGTTAGTACTTGTCTTAAAGTAACTATTGCGAGAGTTTTCCAGTGTTTTCCCCACTTTCATGATACCTACCGTTATTGCTTGAGTAACAGCAATTGTCTAGAGTAACGATAAAATGACTCAGAACGTTCGTATTCACCAAATCATGCACGATTACAATTTTACGTTCTGTTTATGTTTACCGTTGCCATCTCTCGGACTTTCTCGCGATAGCGCGAGACATCTATCATGGTGCAGTAATGCATATAGTCGCACCGCAGAAATAAGGTCAGAGTGTAACCACAGACATTCATACTAGCGTAACAGGAGTGTAGTACTAATGCCGCGTAAAGTCTGTTATTAGAGAAGCTTGTGGATTACCAGTCAGATAGTAACACGGGAATGACAATGACAGAAAGTGCTCGGAATTATTGACATAAAAACTAAATAATATTTACCGCACAGAATTGCACGCCCTTTTGTTTTAATTATGCACTTAGTTTAAAGGCGCCATTTGTGAGTTTGAGAGTCGGCATACGATAAAATTTATTGCTGGTATGATTTGGTCAAATCCATTTTTCTATGCTATAACTGCATAAAATCTTAGTGTTTTTAATGTTGGTGTAATCAGTGATATTTCCGCTGTCAGGTGAGACTATATTCAGCTATATTTAGTTTTTCTGAGCAAAAATCTCGCAATAGTAAGTTTAATAAAGTTGAAGCGATGGTAGAAAATGATGAAAAATTGCTCTAAAAAGTTGCTATAAAAAGCTGCTTGTCCAGCGGACAAGTTACTGGACAGGTCTACTTGTCCTCCGTGGAAATGGACAAGTGAAGACAAACGGATAGCCCTTATTTCGAACACTGTATTACTATTACTATTTTGCCAGAAAGTGTCTTCAAACACCACCTGACCTCTCTTATCCCTCGATCATATACTGTATGAACCATAAGTGCTACTAGCAATGACAGTGTCACCTACATCCCTCCCCATCACAAACACAACACCACTGCCACCACCACCACAGCGCAGCACCATCATCTCCACTCACCTTCTGTTTAGAGAAGCCCGGGTCGATGACAAACACGACTCCGTCAATGGTGAGCGACGTCTCGGCGATGTTCGTCGACACGACGCACTTCCGTCCGATGGCGCCGTTCGCCTTTTTCGGCGGCGCTGCCTCGAAGATGCGCTGCTGCAGGTTGGGAGGCAGCGTCGAGTATAGAGGGATGCAGCGCATCTCTCCTACGTCGGGCCCGAGGTTGTCCAGCTCACGCTTCATGCGCTTACACGCCTCCTCTATCTCCTACAGCACGGAAAACACGAGAGGCGTGAGGCAACGCGACACACGTGAGGAAACGTGACACATTTAATGTGTACCTTGGAATACTTTAATTCACTTAATTAGTAATTATGTAATTAGTTAACCCTAATGCTGAGGATTGCAAATGGCTGTCTTAACCACGATTATGTCCCAGATACTGGGTGTGGTGAACTAGGTCAAGTTGAAACTACTAGAGTGAAGTACGCCCGATGTGGGTGGACCTCCGCCAAGCTGCGATAACAAACACATAGATATGAACGCATGCTTACCGAGTTCAGTAAGATCACCCATGTCGTTGATCGCTGCCAAGTAGTTTAGCAACTCCAACGCTCGCATCAGTGTCTCAGGAGCTACAGAGGGATAGAGTGAGAATGCGGCGAGTGAGAGAGCATGACCACGAGCAGACGCGTCTACAGATGTTCACGTTTATTTGTCTCGCTCGAAGTTAGTCAATGTCGCCAGCATCGATGTTTCGACAACAAAGCAAGATTCTACGTGAATGCAGTGTGTTCGTTGCTCGAGTTTTCTTTATTAATCTCTTCACCGCAAGCATCACATCACCGAGAGACACACAGAGTCTATGCAATTATTTACTAACAACGTGAACACTTGTGCTAGAAAAGCTTACTAGCAGAGCAGTTGCACAAACCTAATACGACCATTTTATGATTAGAGCATGAAAAATTTCTCAACAAAATGTTTTCACATCACGTAAAACTGTCTAGAAATATATACGAAAATCTACAGACACAAAGACCCAAACTGCATTGACAGCAAATAAGCACACATGCCACGTGTAAGATGTTTAACGATTTGAAAGAAGTGATGGGTTTATTAATGGCTACATCGTCACGGTGACCGCTGCACGCACACACGCCTACTCACCAGGCGGGTCCATGAAGTCAAAGTGTACGAGGTCGTCAATGCCTAGCTTCTTCAGCTGCAGCACCACCGTGCCGAGGTTGGAGCGTAGGATCTCTGGATACGTGTTATCCTGCATCTCCTGCTTGTAGGCCTTCTCCGTGTACAGCCTGAAGCACTTACCTACAGCAGAGGAGGAAGATGAGGAGGAGGAAGAGGAAGAGGAGGATTACACACTGTACATGTGATGTCAAGTCAAGCATGTTTCCATGCCCGTGTTTCAATCTGTACACGTACACCTCTATTTTATTCTCAACCCACCTCACCGAATTGCGAAATGAGAATGCAAAACAGCACGGTGGGAATATTATAACACGTGTGTACACACATTAAAGTTACGCACCACAGTCCACTTTCATCTACTTCTGGTGGAACACTGAAGAAACTGTTTAATCAACCTTTAAGTTTTAACCTTTAACACGTTCAACGCTGCCTGGATTAACAATGCATCTACCGCCCTGTGCTGAGATTTTCGCGTTTTTACCGCTTAGTCACCTATTACACAAAATGTTTTTGGCAGGTTTAACTAGCTATAAAATTATTTATAATTAGTGGCTAGTACAATATAGATTTAAACTTACTCTCAGACATCGAAACAACACCGGAATCTATCACAGGTGATGTATCACATCAAATACAACTTTCAGACATAAAAACAACTTCACAAAACACGGCGGTCAAACGCCCTTTGGCGAGGTGAACTAAAAACATTACCTCAGTCCCAAAAACTCCCAAAATAACGTTCCAAACAACAGTAAAGTATTGTTTAAATTATGTCATCTACTACTGGGGTTTATACATTGACGCTGTATAGCCCCTAAGCGTATAGCCCCTGCCATCTATAGGAGAACATAGTAAACGTTCCAAATTTTTTTATTTTTTTAAATTTTTTTTTTGCCACGAGTATACTCGTGTTTCGCGGCCGTGCGTTTTGCAGGTTCGAACGAGTATACTCGTGTTTCGCGTTGAACGTGTTAAGAAATTGCACAGTAATAGTACGTAGTAGCAAGATCCGCGTCCGTAGGCACTATCCGATGTATCTACACATCTTGATCACATGGTAGCGGGAGCCAGCACACGGCGTCAGGTGCAGCATCGAGGTGAGTGTGGGTACATACCGGGTCTTGTACGTCCGGCACGACCAGCCCTCTGCTGAGCACTCGCCTTCGATATCGGCGACACAAGTAGCGACTCCACCCTGATGCGTGGGTTGTAAACCTGCATGACAACGAGAGCAACAACGTTAGAAGGTCACTGATATTGCGCGCATGCACACTTACTCGAGAAAATGCAAACATACCCTCTTCCTGTTTAATCAAGTCAAATGGACTTAATGCGAACTTCAATTTAAAATGGCGAAATTGACTTCCCATTTCTACTATATATCCATACTGCTCTTTGAACATTTTTATCTGATCTGCTGTCTCTACAACTGCTTTGCCACTTGAAGACTGATCTGATTAACACAGATCCTGACAAGCTAGCAAAATGTTAGTCACATGTCAGTGCCATTCGATTGCAAGTTTTGTTACTGATCTTTCATTTTCTATACAGCACACTTACTCAATATTACCATTATTAGTATTAATAATAATTACTACTATCATAATAATAATTATTATTATTACAGTGTTCGAAATAAGGAAAAAAATTTGCTTGTCTGACGGACAAGCTACAATATAATTTTGCTTGTCCTGCAAAATGTTTGCTTGTCCTGAACATAGAAATGTAGTAAATGTGTAATTAATACATTTAATGATCAAATAAAATTTTAGACCCAATATCTTACTTTGTAATTTTAATACAGTTCACTAACAGTTAAAAATTATAGGCACCAAACTTGAAAGAACATAAAGAAGCACAATTATTTATTTTAAGTTAGTACTTGTCTTAAAGTAACTATTGCGAGAGTTTTCCAGTGTTTTCCCCACTTTCATGATACCTA